ACTCGCATCGCGATAATTCGAGGCGAGTTGAAATATCTGTGGTGCGAGAAGGGAGCGGAAGGATCAAACGATCGCGTCTTGCCGAGGGGTGGGGGGGGGGGAGAGGAATCTCTAGGGAGCGTGGTAACGATTCGTGCGTGCACGCGTGAGCGCGTGAGTCGGCCCCGCTGTCACGCAGCGCGGCCGAAGAAGCGAGGAAAGAGTCGAAGGAGATCCTATCTGCTCGAACTGGCCTCGCCATTAGTGTCACGAGAATAGGAGAAGGACTTTGCGTCCGTGGCGCTTCTGCCTTGCGGCACGAGTAATATATCGCGTTCAATAATCGAAAATTCACGTTGGAGAAGAACGAGATTCTAGCAATTAGGAATAACGGGACGAGAAACGGGAGAATTGATGATCAAATGATTATTGAGATCTCGATGGATTGCGATATATATATATCGTGTAACGATATAAACTTTCCAATCACGAATTGCAGCATCTCATTTACAAAATTCCAAAATATTTTTCTCCAAATTGAAAATTCCTGTCTTCGATCGCGTTTATTATTCGTAATGCGAGCGTAACACGACGATGATGATTGTACCAAATGATTATGGATTGCAATCTCGATATATCTGTAACGATAAACTATCGAGGATGGATGGTTCGAGGAAGAAGAATCAAGAAGCTAAAAATCAAAAATATGATAAAGAAATAGAGTTTGGTTAAATGTGAACAATAATTGGAAAGCTTTGAAACTGATTTATAAAATTCCAAAATAATTTTCTCCAAATTGAAAATGCTTGTCTTCGATCGCGATTTGTAGAGCGAGCATCGCACGACGAGTGTTCATCTGAACAAACTGGCCCGGCATTCGAGGATGCTTTGACTTTTTTGAAAAGTCAAATTACTTCCAGACTCCTTCGAGAATAAAATCCTTCCGAGTTTGTTATCCGCAACAACATCGAGCATTAATTAGAATCTCAATTAACCGCCAACGTAATGGCGCACGCATCGATCACGTTGTATCCGTTTTCTGGAAACGGCTCGGGGGTCGAAACCGTCTCCTCGCTCAGACATTAGCCCATAAAAATTTCAAACTCGTCCTTGTTTGCCAGCCAGGGCGCGTAATTAGCATCGATTGCGAGGACAACGTCCCTTCCTCAAAATTACCTTCCGAACGTCCCTCCTCCTTGGAAAGGTCTCGCTCTGCGCTGAATTCGAAACATCGATCGCAAGCATCGAGAAATATCTTTCGGTTTATTCGATTTTTTTTCGCTCGAATCGAAGATACACGTTCGAATTGTTTTCGATTCGATATCGTGCATTTCGATAGCTTTTGGATTAGATCGAGATTACTTTTCCAATAATATTTTGAATTACGTGCTTTCGTCGCATTGCAACGAGAATATGTTGCGTTCCGTTTACAAAATATGAAGCAACGTTCAATGCCCTTTGACTTTTTAAAAATTATCATATTCTTATGCAACCTTCATCATTTCAAACGATAATTAGAATATGCTCTTAAAATTACATTTATATTTTCCATTCTTAGGAAGCAAGCGGCATAAGTGAAATTTAAAAATTGTTAATTACTAGCGTATCCATATCCGTTGATCCCGACATTTTGAAATTAATAATCAATTTGATCAATGTTAAGGAAATCATCGTATCGTTAATAAAAATTGATCGATATCGAGATCGTCCATCATCAAAGATTTCGCTCTCCATTAAGGAGAGATGTAATTAATATCAGTGCATACATTGTTCTTCGCCCGCGTGTCGGCGAACTGAATACCGTCCAAGCGAGATATTCGAAAACTGTCCGATTAACGATCCGAAAGTGCCTCGAGTCAAGATTCAAAATACCTCGACGGACGTTATATTCTCGAGCCGTGCATTCCTGCGTGGCCCGTGTTTCGGCCACGGACAGTTTCCCTCTCCCCAGTGGAAAACTTCGCCTCGCCCGATTTACATCGAGAATGGGTAATTAAGGGGGGAAGAGTAAACCTTGATTAGAATTACAATCGTAATCGGTTCGATCCCGTCATTGCCCGGCCGACGAGTTACCAGAGAACTCGGGTGAATTCCAGGGGGCGCGGATCCTTCTTTGGGATTGTATTGGGGGAAAAATTTGCATTACGGATGAGGATCCCTCGTTCGATCGGATTTCTTGATGTTACACAGTTGTTTGGGTAAAAAGCGTGTGTTTTTGAGTTGTGAATTTTTTCTTTTTTTTTTTTTTTTTTGAGAAGATAGTAACGCATTGAGAAAGAAATATTATTTGTTTAAGATTGTTTTATTAAGGAAATTCGTTTCTTAATTCAGATTTTAAGAAGAATTTAAATGTGAGAGTGAAATAAACGTTCAAAGTTTTCCGCTTTTTGTGTCATTTCATATAGAATTGTGAAAAGAATCGAAAAAGAAAAATTGGTATAAAAATTTGAAAGTATTCATTTCCTTATCCTCTCGAAGAAATTATGCTTTAAGCAAACGCGAATTTTCATTTTTGGGTAGAATTCTTGTGCAGGATTTCTTATAAATTTGCAGCAGATAAAATTTTATAATAACTTTCACCGATGTTCGAATCTACAAATTGCTCCCTTTGCGCGTTAATTATATTCTTTCTCACGTTGTAACTTTGACTGAAATCTGAATAAAATGTTACTTTAATAATGGAGAAGAGAGAGAGAGAGAGAGAGAGACTCCTTTTTACAGGACAAATACATTAAACTCCCCGCTACCTTCAAATATTTGTCACCTGCACTTTCAAAATACAAAGAACCGAGGTTCAGACCAGTAGTAATATCCATCGTAAAAGAGATGGAGTATTACTCCTTTGCAATTTCAATTTAAAAATTGAATCAACTTTATTCAATCCGCTGCCATTTTTCCACGGTAGTCATTACACACAGCGTCGCGCTACGCTTACATTTTCGCAAGAGTAACTCGTCGCGAATTTCAAGTGCAAAATTACCAATTACGCGTATTATACCGGTTCTTTCAACAATTTCTGTGTATCTTTAAAACGGTCAAAAATGGAAAAAAATTTCATTACGTAAGAATGAAAGGGCTTTGAATCCGTGCGCGTAACCCGGAAGTGGAGACGTTTCAAAGGTTCGAAGGTCGCTTAATAAATCGTTATCGAGAATCTGACCTTCCATCTTTCTTCTTCTTTTTTCTTTTCTTTTTTTTTTCTTTTTTTTTTTTCTACAACGAACTTCACTGATCTCGCGAAAAATATTTTTTTCTACTCGAAACGGAAAATATTCATTGGAACCATGTTAATTTTCTTTGACACAAGAAAAGAGAAAATTTGTTAACCAATTTAATATTATTATATGCATTTACAAAAAATTTAAATACGTAATCTTTGCAATAAACAATCAAATTTATACATTTTTCCAAAGAAATACAAATTTTCCATCTAAAATTCAATGATATCATCCATCGTGTTGCGAAAAATTTATATTTTACTTCCAGTAGGAATAAGCTTCTATTTAAAATCGCGATGTCCCGTAATGGCGGCGCAAATTTTCGTAGCCAACTCGGGTGGAAGCGACGCGATCGAAGAAAAGGGCGAAAATATCGGCCGCTAATTGTCGATTCGACCGGGTATTTCTGAAGAATTATCCTGCGCTCTACGGTTTTCTTCCATGCTCAATCCAGAGTCCATTAAACGCAAAGTCAGTCGGGCAAATTCAATAAGCGAATCGTTTTCGCGCGCGGAAATTAATCGTTTCACCCATTAAACACCGCCATTGAGAGTAATTCACCGGCGTTTCTTTTCTTTTCGCGTGCCATTGCTCCGTTGCGCCCAGAGGTTGAGGAGACTTGAATTTTCCCAGTTTTCAAAATACGCCAGACCGATTCAATATACCACCACCCCTGCCACCACCCCTTTGTCTTTTATTTTCTTCCCTTTTCTGCCCATTGGTATTTCGAAACGACTTTCAATACGGATACAAATGGAACAATGCCTGTTTAGTCCCAATTATTGTAAGAAGAAGAAGAAGAAGAAGAAGAAAAAAAAAGGTATGATACGGTGATAAAATAATTACATCCCGTTTGAATTAATTTTATTCTCCCAAAATTTCATTAATTCACCAACGTTTCCAGAGATGTACGAGCATTAATTTATTTTTTCGTCGAGACGCTACCATTTTCCCTACTCTTTCTCCCAGATTAATTTTAGCTATACCTTTTGAAATATTATGGCTAAAGGTTATTTCAGATTCCCCGCTTCATTTTCCAATTAAAATCCTCGAATCGATATTAAACAATTAATATCGGCGCTTCCCCAATTTTTCAAATATTAAATTTAACGATCGTGTCGTTAATATTTTTTTCACCTCTTCTCATCGATCGCGCCACTAATCCCTTTATAATACGTTAATACGTTAAAAGTGAAAACAACTTTCTCACGAATTTCTCACAAGCAAAAGTGGACAAGTTTTACTATTTTACGCGCATTGATTATCAAGATTAATAAAAATACACTGATGAGCAGACAACAGCGAGTCACGATCTCCATCCTTCAAAAAAGAAGAAGAAAAGAATTTGAAATTGCGCGCGACAGAAGTGGAAACCGATTCCACTCTCCGCGTTTCTTCGATCCTCGACGAAGAAGGATTCCCCGATTTAACAGAACCACGAACACGATCTGTCTGCGATCAAATTGTATATTCAAGCTAATCGATGACTGAGAACAACGAGAATTCATCTTCCGCGTAATAATAGAGATGGATACTCTCGAGAGGATAATCACAGCCGATCGATTCGTCGAACGTATTATATCCACAATCCACTTCACAGGTACCTTTGTTCGTTTAAACTGTTTACCACGATTTTTTTTCTTTTTTTTTTTTAATAACGTTCTTCCGTATCTTGTTTTTGGAAAATGTCGACGGTTGAAAAAAGAGAATTGGACTCGAGTCGATTATTCCTTAGAATTTTATCTTCGTGCCGATTCGATGATTCAATTTTCGGAATTTGTAAATTCCACCTCGTGTCGGAGAGCCACAATTATTGGTGTCATTGGGGGAAAATGTCAGGAGTTGTGTCAGGGGTTTGAAATGTTAAAAGTGGGGATGGCAAGATAGGTCACAGTTTAGATAATTTTGGATGACGCGTGTGTGACGGGATGATACTGATTATAGAATAGAAGGGAAAGGTTAAACAACATGTGCTTCGGGATGGAAAGCAAAAATATTTAAGTAACGAAATTAATAGCGATATCAAGCGATAATAAGACTGCAGGTGGCGCTCGATTAAAAGTATCCGTTTATAGCAAATATTGTTATCAAATATTTCGATTATACTTTTCTTTTCTTTTAATTATTCGAAATTATCGAATCATTCTTATAATCCGACAATTCGATAGATCGGGTGAATATTACTCTGTTTGGAAAAATATCGGTAGCCGTAACCATAAATTCATTCATTACCACTGGATGGATGAGTGACTGGATATTGTGTTTTCGGCTGAGGTTTGACAGCTTGTTTTATGAGGTAACGAGAGAAAAAAGGAATATCCCGTAATTATGAAGTTGAAAAATGCTTTATCGTGTCCAGAGCAAGAAGCGTAAGACTAGAGGGATACTCGTTTAATTTCACGTGTTTGTGATATTTCTTCTTTTTTTTCTTTTCGTGGTGTACATTGGCCGTGATGTTTGAAAGAAATATTCAATTCGCGCGGAATGTTCGTTATTACCGTATCATATATTATTCGAGGGAAATATCTTTGTAAAAATTTTACTCCCCTCCGTAAATTTTAGCTTCCCGTACGTGACATTCCGTGCTTTTAATTATCCTCATCCAATAATTATGTTTGCAATTAAATTAAAATTTTTTGCAACGATACATTATTCTTGTAAATAATCATCCGTCCCCGACATTTATTTGTTAAATAATTAACAAACGATACAGTTTTTTATACAGCTTTTATTTAATTTAAATTCTCCCTTTTTTTCTCTATCGTTAAATAACAATTGTCACATAAGTTATCTGCATAATAATCAATCGCTTTACTTAATTCCACACCCAAGTATATATCTCTCGTAATCGAAATCGAGCAAGAATAGTTTAAACACGTGTGAGTCGCTCAATTACACGACCATGATAAAATGATGTCGATTCGAAAACAAAACAATAACGAAAAACAAACTTCCCTGTACAACTACTTCCCTACAATAGAACAATTCGAATCAGCCAGCTCGAAATTATCGATAACATCAACGACACGCTCGATGTAACCAATATATATATATATATCTCGACTCTGGGGGAAGAAAATTCGAGATCTCGACAGAAACGAAACGATCTCGATACGATGAATCTGCCAAAAGCCGAGCCACGAAGAGCCTTTAAGCGCATCATTTCCACTTTCCTGTTCTCCACTTTTTATCTGTCAGCGTCACTTTTTCCCTCCCCGAAGAAACCCTCCCCGTTGTACCACCCGATTGTCGAAGCAACAAGCCCCTCGGTGTCGATGAAAAACCGAGGAAAAACTTCCTTCCATCCGCATTTTAATTCCCGTCGACTCCGGCCCGAGATATCCTCCCTAATTGTTTTCAACCGAATATACGGATGTGTGTACACGGAGGAGAAAGAGAAGGTGGTGTGCGCAGGAGGAGAGAATATTTATCGGGAAGCGGGGCGGAGCAGCGGGTGGCGCGCAACCGTGCGTGTTTCCGATCAATTAACAATCTGTCGGCAAAAGCCGGGCTGGTTCGAGCCGCCGGTAATCCGGCAGAAAATCTGAACAATGAAATCTCGGACTATGAAAATAACGGGCGTGTTTCGTCAGAGTTCGATTCATCAACGATATTCCCGCTCGATACGTAGTTTCTACGACGTAGCGTCTCGACCGATCTCTCGTGTTCTTGGCGGATGGTGCGGTGGTGATCTTAGTCGATCGATGGAATGTAAATATTTCTCTTCGGATTCGTCGACAACGTATAGGACGCCTCGTATTATTGGGAAAGAGACTCGAATATTCCACGACGCAATACGATAATAAAATAGGATAATCACTCTGGTATATTCGTATAGCATTCTGAAATCAAACGTAGTCGTTTATTTAGATAAATTGCCCGATAATGGCAAATGTACGTACGTAATTTTTGGACTCGTATCCAAAGTCAACGATGGAATTCCACTTAAATGCCCCAAGCTTTTCTAAAAGAACCTGAAAATCCGATATTTAAATAATTGTTCGAGCAACTTTGTTATTGAGATCTGAATTCGACGGTGTATAGAACGTTTGTTAAATTATATCTGGTCGGCGCGGCATCCGTCGAGGCGCCTCTAATTCTGATATATCGAGGGGAAAGAAGAAGAGGGCAGAGGAGGAGGGGGTTGGTCGCCGACCGAGCCCGTCTGCGATCGTACCTACAATTATTTTTTTCCCGTTCCGCGCTGCGTGCCGTCAGATAATAATTACTCGGGTGCCCCGTGATTCTTCGGGAAGTCGCCGCCTCGAACGAGCCGCGCAACAACGCGCCACCTATCTCCGTGCCACGTTGTACACTGGGCAACGCTGTGTGCGCCCACCTATATAAGGAATTGCGGAGAGCGCGAGGCTGTATGCGCAACGCTCATTCCGCTAATCTTGCGTAGGCACGCATGTTGCTCGTGCTTGTCGGAAATGCGACATCGTCGACGTCGCTCGTCACGGAACAAGAAGGCCTTACGTGGCTGCGCCTGCATGCATCGCGTGTGTATGCACTCCGTTGCACCTATACACACGCGACCGCCTGAACAGACGCTGTGTACACGTCGTGCACGGTTTGTTACAGGGTGTCTCGAGCGTTGTCGTCGAATCTTTTTTTCGTCAGTCAGATTTTCTCGCGGTTTG